TTTCGGCTGAGTTGAGGGCATAGTCTCATGAATTTTTTTCAACGGAATAAATGAATTGAATTATTGAATGATTGAATAATTGCTTCCGTCGGGAATTTTAAGCCTTTTTCTAGTCAATACCCCCATGTCCTTTGCTCCTTTTCTTCGGCGCACATATACACTCTCGTCTCTCCGTCCGTCGGTCTGTGAAAAGTCACTGCAGACTTGTACCTCTATCCCATAAAAGGACACTCTTCTTTAGTTTACTCCTGAAATTGCTTCTTTTATTAGTCCGCTATACAAGGAGAACGTATGTTAGTCTTCAGTTCAAAACTATGTGCGATGACAAAATATTGAAAATCGGTTCTCGTAGCTCGGGTGAACTGAATGTGCGAATGCCGACATACGTTAACATCGTGCTGCGATTCAAGATAATTAAAACGCCCCGGATGTTTCCCTGAACTGGGTTGTAAGAACCCTTTCAAAACGTTCACAAGAAAAATGATTCTTCTGTTCTACCCTGTGTGCTATAACTGATATTTCGGCTATGCTGACGTTTCTGTCCCATTTTATGTTGCAATTCGTATCCTTCAGGTGAGGGAGTCAGAAAGCGTTTTGTTTCGTCATAACGTAGGCGCGATAATGATGATCATCAGCACCACCACCAGGAGTAGCACTGTGCAGTGCAACACAACGAAGTGAGCTGCTCTGCTCGCTCCCAAATTTGCAATGATTGTGTGGAAAGTAAATCAGATTAGGTTCGGTGGTTGCCGAGCGGACTCGTTTTGAGGGAAGCGGAAATAAAGTGAACCACTATCGTTAATACCCAGGTTAACTGCGTCTGCATGCCAATTTAAGATTTCTAATCTTATAAGAAATGGCAATAAATACATCCTGTTGTCAGTTAACTGCCATATCGTTTGGTGTCTCTCGCCAAACCGTAAGGGAGTCTTTTGGGCCCCAACTTGGAAGATGAGCACATTACAGAAGACAGCTACTACTACTCGTTAACCATACGTGTTCGAAACCCACTCACTGGAATTTGTTGAGACAACGAACTTACACTGAATGACTTCCCAACTATAGGACTGCTCACAATCAGCTCATTTCGTCTTACTTGTGCTACACTACATCAACATCCATTGTCAGAAACCTCCAACCAACCGATATCTTCCATAGGTAAATACATGGTAGGAAAGCCGAAATCATTGCACGGTGACACAGTAGACGGGAACGTTCCGTTTCTGGGAGACGCCATTTTGAAGTCAAAGGTATTTCAGTCGTCACTCAAGGCTGGGGTGTATATGCAACCACCACATATACTATGTTACCATTATTACTAACGGAAATGCATAGAAGGGAGAGGGAATCCACTGGAGCTCATTCTTTATCATCAAACTTCGAAGCAGGCCTGGTTGACGCCCAAACTTGCGGCGCCATTTTGCGCCTTGAAGAGCACATCGCACATCCTCCGCACAGTCAGACAGACATAGTGTCGTCAGTATAATCCGAATCGAACAGTGTTTCTTCCGTTGCACAGAATCCGATTAGTCATTGGGTGTTCAACTTGTTCCGGAATTGCTACTAAGGTGTAAAAATGAATTGGTTATCATTCAACACTAGCCTTCCAGTGAGTTGGTATAGTTATTCGCTTATGTCAGACGATATCTCGCTTTAGAGACGAAAACCTATTGCATAAACTATTGAGCAGACTTCCTTGCTACCAGCGGTCAAGTAGAACGCATCAAATGCACATTTATCTGTGCCTATGTCGGATGGTCGATAATTTCATCAATCTGCAATGTGCTAATTCGAGCACAGAGCCAGTCCGGACACTGGGTTAGAACTGCCCAATCGGGAATGCAGTATGACCCCGTTCAAGGTCGACAACACTGGCAAGTGGACAGGAGAACAGAGATCGATCAGTGAGCGCATGGGCACACAATCACACCGGTGTGTGCACAGGTGTTGGTCACACACTTGCACGTGGTGCACACAGCATACACACACACAACGAAAAAACAATATCGATTGATGTCAACCATGACGTAGTCCAGTACAAGTTGTGTGGTAATAGACTACATGAAGGAACGTTTGGTGGAAGTAAAGGCATTGCTTCGGCATCCTTGGTACTTTTTGCAAGTGACACATCAGTCGCGTTCACCTCCATTGATGTTCATTGTGGAGAACAAACAGTCACTCGGACAAGCTGTGGTCGATCATCCGGACAGGGAATTCGATACGTTTGTCTGAAAATGACTGAAAGTCGGAAAGCAGAAAATGTGAGTCACGCCCATACGGGTCGGAGGTAGGCAGCAACGGACGACAGTTACAAATGTCCCGGAAAACTNAAAACTTGTCTCATTGCTACCGTTCTCACGGCTAAATGATATTCTAACGTGAATTGACTAGGTCGACTAACAAACTGAACACACTCAGGTTCGATGACTAAAAGGACCACATCCAAGGATTTCTGCTATTTCATTATCAATCATGTACAAAGGGATATCGTTTATTGATTGTTAGCGATAATCACCTGATCAAAACTGAACATGTACTCTTTTGTTTAATGCACGCTAATTTTCATAACCCTTATTTACCTTATGAGCCAAATATACGAATCAAGCAGCACCAAATGTCAAAATAATTAATTACTTCTCATGACAGAATGCCAGATTTCTCAGGACTTGCTTCTGAAACCTCGGAAACATAGCCCAATCTTTTGTCTCTTTTAGAGGATCTTTCACGATGCCAATTCAAAATGAAAAACATGTGCAATCCGGAAGGGTCTCATGTCTTTTATGGAATTTCGAGTACTATACCGTAAATAGCTAAAAAGTTAATGAGTGAGTCACTAGGACGTATCCCTTGAGTCCGTGATAGATAAGAACCTGTATATCCATAATTGCGGATCCCACATATTACTACTAGGCTGCATAGACAGGCTTCAGTAGTTGATCTAACGCTGATAGTACAATGATGGACAGCTGTCCAACTGCTTCTTGATGTCGTGTTGCACTGTCGATTGTTGAAGGATAAGTAGCTACGATGGAAGTGTAAACGCACCCACAAACAAAACCTGTGATTTTGTACAGCACTCACCCACCCCACACACCCGTACGAACTGAGCCACAGGGTCTAATCGACAGCACGGATTCTTTTCACATTTGGTTCCACCACCTAATTTACAAAGACAAAAGCAATCCACCAATTGGCATACAAGCTATCTGTCCGGAAATGATTCCCTTAGGATTCACCGGAATCCACCGAATAAATCATATTGCTGAAGTGTTCTCTGCAAATCGCGTTAAGTGGACGATGTATACAGACCGTGGTACCTTTTGTTTGGGTGTTCGGATTAATCCATTAGGAAAAGATCAGCACTGCTTGTGTGATTTCATGGCCCGACTGGTGAAGCGTGTGTTATTCATAAACACCCACTGAGTGTGTGTTTGATTCCTTCCGCAGCTACTGATCTTCTCATCATTAAAAATAAACGATTTTTTCTCCATTTNTTCATCTTAACGATATCTGAAATGAACATCATGAGAATCATTGGACCTAGATTATACAATCGTAAAAGAGCAAACTTCGATTCAAATAAATTACCTGAACTCATTGCTACTTGTTTTACTTTCTTTTTCTCCCCCCCCGTCCCCTCCGCTTTCGTTTCTACTTGCAATTTGGTTATCGACCCGGATACAGTGATTTCTATTGTTGTTTCTTCATCATCTCCGTCCG